ATTAAGAGTTACAAATTAACGTTTTTGTAGTTTTGTGACAAAACCGAAAATCCCAGGCTTTCCTTAGCTAAAAAGCAGGTTCTAAAATGGATGGTTACTTGGTTTTTTCGGTGAACCAATTAATCGGTTTGCATGCCCTAGTTGAAACAACTGAATTTGAGCTTTAGTCGTTGCTGTATTGATTTAAATTAATAAATAAATAATAAATAAAAATAAAAATAATTTATTTCAGACAAGTAAGTCCATGGCATATTAGTTACAAAACTTTAAGAACTATGTTAGTAACATGTGCGCTGAAAAACAAAAAATATGAATGTAATGATATGCAATATCTTTAGAGTAATAATAATATTAATACTAATGTTTTAGGCCATGGAGGAGACGAAAGTCTAAAATAGATGTCCGAAATAATAATAATAATAATAATATCGTCACTTATGAGATTGTATGTCCCGCGGAAGTGTGGAGGTAGAGGCCTATTAAGTGTCAAAACCATGCACAACCGCGAGATATGCAATCTCAGAAACTACTTTTTGATGACGACGGATGATGTAATTCGTGGGGAGGTTGTCACATGTGATAAAGGGCTAACTCCCTTATCGTTGGCCAAAGAGGAATGGCGAGACACGGTGGTGCTTAGCACCTCTGACCGCGAGTCCGTATGGAAAGAGAAAGAGCTCCGTGGGAGGTTCTTCAAGGTACTCCACGAGCCTTTTATGGACCGTAAATGTAGGGATACATTGGCTGCGTTTCGGGGACCTCTTTGGGGAAACCGAAGGTTTTGTCTGTGCAATACAGGATCAGGTTATCCTAAATATCCTAAAGGACGGCACAGTAGATATTTGTCGGGCATGTGGCCGTCCCGGAGAGTCATTTAGGCATATTGTTTCCGGTTGTTCCGCTCTTGCTAACACTGAGTATTTGCACAGACACAACCAGGCAGCCAAAATATTACACCAAGAGCTCGCTCTGAAGTACGGACTAGTGCAACAGAGGTTGCCATATTACAAGTATTCACCGGAGCCAATACTCGAAGATGACCGCACCAAAATCTATTGGGATCGATCCATTATCACGGACAGGACTATTCTTGCGAATAAGCCTGATATTGTGATATTGGATCGATCGCAGTCGAGGGTATGTCTTGTTGACGTCACCATCCCGCATGACGAGGGTCTCGTGAAAGCTGAAACCGAGAAACGCCGGAAGTATCTCGACCTGGCGCACGAGATCACCGACATGTGGGATGTGGCCTCCACTCTCCACTCCAATTGTTTTGTCCGCAAATGGGTTGAGCAAATGAGCCTTTCTAACAGCTTGAGGCAGTTGGATTTCAGTGGCGTGTCGCTTTCAGCACAAATGCAGAAGGCGGTCCTGCTCAATACGGCACGTATTGTTCGCCGGTTCTTGAACCTGAGTCCCTGACCCCGGCAGACTGTGCCATTGCGGGGAAATACCGCCTCTCCCATTAAAAAATTCAAAATTAATCTTTTAGGCATTGGGAGAGGCGACAGTCTAAAATAGATATAATAATAATAATAATAATCATTGACCAATAATCGCAATATTTTTTGATACAGTTATAATTTAATTATCTATTTTATAATTTAAAATGTAATTGTAAGCAAACAAGGAGTGTGTATATCTCGAAACAATGAGTGCGCATAAAGGATTAGTCAGTTGGTAGAGGCCGATCTATCGAACTACACATTTTCTAACATGTAGATCGATATATATTATATTTATTATTATTATATTATATGTCGACCAAGAATGACCGAATCGAAACGATGTTGGTTTTTTGAGTTATGTGCTTTAGTCTACCGACTCTAGAATTCAGCTGTGAGATTAAGAATAAAATATATTTTCCTGTGAATAAGAACTTTTCATTAAGCCCTATTTCCAGGCATGCAATGATAATGACTGAATCAGGTCTAGGGCATAACCGTCTAGCTTCATAGTCAGTTTGAACAAATAAAATGTGCAATGATATACATCATGAAACTGTGTTTTAATTAGTTGCCAGGAATGCATCGAAAATATGCAGATTTTGACTACTATGAACTTCAGACTGGCTTTCAAGTCAGACGGTTAAGAAGCTGATGGCGTTTACAATCCAAATATAAAATTTTGTGTATTAACTGTCTGAAGATCAACCAAGACCTAGTCGAGCACGTGTTAACGTACATAGTGGAAGGTGATCACAAATGGCCGCGAGAGGGCGCTATACTCATTTTCCTGCCAGGAATAGCCGAAATCATGGCGTTGCATGACCAGCTAGCCGAGAGTCATACTTTTAGTGCCAAGTAAGTATGACTTAAGTAACCTAAGCGTAGCGGTTAACTACTTTGATTTTAGTCGAGAGATCGTCACCCAATTGACGAGACAAACTTATTTAAAATGTTGAGCTCTCTAGGTTTTAGCGATTGTTAATGTAGTAAATGTCGTGACTTGTGAGGAGCCCCTTGGTTTGTTTCAAAATACAAATATACCCAATTTAGATCCGAAGAAGAAATAATTATAACATTTTATATAAAAAATACCGACCTGAACAGTTATCTATTTGCCAAGTTTTATTGAAATCAGTTTACGGGTACCGGATTCATCCCCCATTTTGTCACCCGCGCTGAGGGAACCCCTTGCCAACAAAAAAAGAATATTCGAAATCAGTTCACAAGTGTTGGAATAATCTCGTAACATACGCACAAAAAAGTACAGTCGAGAATCTCCTTTTCTTGAAGTCGGTTGAAAATGGTTTCTTTTCCAATTTGGGTGTTCTACGGCCTTAGACCGTTTGCGCAATACGTCCGATTCGTATCAGTTCCGAATCCGACAAATGACTGTCCGAAATGTCACGGGGTTCGTTTTATCTCTAGGTGTACAAGCGATATTTGTATTTTCTCGGATGTGAATCGGACTTAGTGCACAAGTGACATACGAAGTGGGTCCAAGTTTTCTAGATTTGTATAGTCTCGAGTTAGGAACGAATATGAATCGAATGAAGTGCACAATCGCCCTAACGGTCTAATTTAAAAATCAGTCACAATAAATCTATGTATATTTTCAAAACATATTCCGGAAATGCAGAAATTGAAACAAAGAGGGATTGGCTTCGAATTGTATTAAAATTGCACATTTCACTTCAACTGGCAGGCTGCCTTTTAAGTTTTTTGCTTTATATATTTATTATTACATTTCAAAAACATTAAAACAAAACATCCAGTATAACAAAGTTAACTAAGTTTTCCGTATACCGCTCATTCGTTGTCCAAAAATATTTCTATGTGTACTGTGTGCGCGTTAAAACTGCTGCGTGTTGACATTCCTAGTAGTATGCGTGAGAGTCGTTAATAAATAATGTCACTACACCTATATCAGACCCTTGTATATACATCCCACCGCTGAACACGAGTCTCTTCTAACAAATGGTCGTGAACAGTATTTTAATATTAAATTTGTAGTTAGTATAAAGTTAGATAGGTATAATCAATTTAATTTTTCTAAAAAAGTACTTTTTTAATTATTAAACAAAGATCGAACACTTAGCAAAAATTCACTTCGATCCGGCTGGATTCGAACCAACGTCTCCTAGCAAACTGTGCCAGACGCTATGCCAACGGATAAAACCAATGGATCTCACGAATTTTTCCGTGTGTTTGTTGCAAATCTTTGCTTTGGTTTTTAAAGACTTTTTACCTACGGACTATCTCAATTTTGACAACTTTACACGATGAAGAAAAAAATTGTTTGCGTCATTTATATAGCATCTGGTTTATTAAATAAAATACGTAGTGTATGTACACATACACCACGTTTTTTTTTTTAAATATTTATATACTACTTATTTTATTTAACGAATCAGATGCTATATAAATGACGCAAACAATTTTTTTCTTCATTCCTGTAAAGTTGTCAAAATTGAGATAGTATCGATTGCCAGTTCACAGTCGACATAGTATAACACGATTAATTGTCGTTCACGACTTTTTAACGTTACGACGACAGACTGTCGTGACAATCGGAAGACTAGAACGACAGTCGTCCAATGATAAACAAATCGTCACGATAAAAAAGTGACGACTGATAATCGTAGCTTCAAACGTTTCTGTCGTGCAAACGACAAGGCGGCTGCCGTGAACCGATAAATTGTCGGCACGATCTCGACACGCCATTCAACGATAAAATAAACGGCCACGCCACAGTCAATATGGGAACAGGCTAGACGCGACAGTCGTCCAACAATACATTAAACGTTGCGACATAATGTAAACACATCCTAACCCACACTTTTTCAGAACCGGCAAATACAAGCTAGTCCCTCTCCACTCAACGCTATCAAGCGAAGAACAGGCTCAAGTCTTCAAGAAGCCTCGTCCCGGCGTTCGCAAGATCGTGCTTTCCACTAACATCGCTGAGACTTCTGTCACGATTGACGATTGTGTCTTTGTCGTTGACTGCGGGCGGATGAAGGAGAAACGGTAAGCATAGTAACGTTGTACATAGACCGTAAGGTTCATGTTTATGTTCTTTAGCGCTTATGATTGCTCAGGCCTTTGCGTATTGAATAGAAAACCAACTAAGTTAAAGACGTTGTCGCTGACGGCTAAAACAGCCGTTTAGAAAACCCAATACGAAAATCTGTAACAAACACGCCATAAAGAAATTCATAAGGTCGGCTGACTTTTAGTAGCAGTAGAGCTCGTTGTGTGACAGTTCGTCCAGGGAAGTAAATATTTGGGTGTTTTTGTGGACTAGCGACTCTCGTGGTATCCACTCCTCGAACATGTCATTAAAAGAGTAAGAAAACTTAATTCGATTTTTAAAACACTAATGTCCACTTGCACTAAACTTAAGTATGTCTTAAACCAATGCTTAAATTGATAAGACACTCTTAACACAATGTATTAAGAGTGTCTTTTGCATTGCAATTATTGGTTTACGACGTACCTAGGTTTAGTGCAAGTGGACATAAGACATATAAACAGTCGCAGTAGTGGGTCGTGAGTCTGGTCGTCTAAGGATATACTTAAAGAAATATACGTGAGTTTGGTTCAATCTGTATTGATTTATTGTATTCTTATATGGAGTGGAGCCGCTAAAACTAGTTTTCTTAAGCTGGAACGTGCGCAACGCAATTTTGCTAAAAGGTGTATTTTAAAAAAAGACGATTTTCCACTAAGTGCTGGTGTAATTACAGGCACATGGGACTTGTCAACTTATGGCTCATGGTGACGGGCGCAGTGGCAGTGCCCCACAGATTTAGCGACTTAAAGCTCGGAGTGGCACTGCAACTGCTATGAACAGGAGTGTACCTTATCATCAGGCGCACGACTTGTTCGCCAAGTCACTTTACATTATAAAAAAAACTTGGTATCTAGCTCAGTTGGTTAAGAATGGTAGCCCTGGCATGGCAACAGAGACTGGTTCGAATCCGAATCTCGTACCCGAAGTTAGAATTTTTTCTTGTGTCTATCTTTGTACTAATAATAACAACAAAGTCAATTAACAAATCGATACAACATCATGTATTGATCGTATCCAGTAACAATTTTTTTTAACTTTTTATTTATTAAGAGACTGATCATTATTCAACATATTAGCCCTATTATTATAGCCATATACCTTCGATTCAACTAAAACACAGTTATAATTTAATGTATAATTTGTTACTCGTATCTATAAATTCTTTTGTTAGTATTATATTATTACTTACACAAATTGGAACATGTCATTACACCTAGTTATCCGGAGTTGGGCGTTAATAGCTGCGACATAGTCTTAATTACTGCTGTAGTTATTATCGAACATAATCTTATCATGTATGTTTTGTTATTGTTGCAAATGAACATTATATTTTATTTATTATTTTATTTATTAAAAAAATAATACATCAAGAAAACAATAAAATCCAGACCAAAATACTACCTAACCAAACACGTTTATAAAAACGGCATCAGACAGTGTGCCTTTAATTTTTCAACAACTTCTCATAATAAAATTCAAGTAGGAAATTTCCTTTAACATTTAGCTTGTATACAGTTGAATTTTCAACTTTATTTTGTACTAATTTAAGGTTCGACTCAAACCGAAACATGGAGTCTCTCGATCTAGTCTGGGTGTCCCGCGCGAACGCGAAACAGCGCAAAGGTCGCGCCGGTCGCGTCATGCCTGGAGTCTGCGTGCACCTTTACACCTCGCATAGATACCACCATCATCTTCTAGAACAACCGGTGCCGGAGATTCATCGGATACCGCTGGAACAGTTGTTGTTGAAGATTAAGATATTACCGCTGTTTAAGGACATGAGCATACATGAAGTCTTAGGTATGTATAGGCTGTCCCCATTTTTTTCTTCCGATATAATGAAATGATCCTTATAAGGAACTGAGTCGAGTGGCATTAAAAAATAAATTAATATTATTCATTTTTCTTGACAACTCACGATTGACCAAAAAAATTTACTATGTCAAAATTGTTTTCACAAAGAAAGTCTCACTGGTTCCTAAGACAGTTATCCTGTATCTCCTAAGGCGTCGGATTTCTTCGTCCCAGTTAAAAAAAGCACACTGTTTATGTCGGCTGTGGGACTTGCATAGTAGGGAAACACCTTATGCGTCACTTATCCCAATTTTAGTGTTATGCAAATTTGCCAAGGGTTAATAAAAATTATTTCATATTTCATATTTATTTATTGCATTTCTACATGGTTTCCTTAGATCTAGAATACATTTAATTTGGCCCTTAGACATGTAGCACCCCACTGGGGCATCGCAACATAAGAGAGAGCACACTCAAATAGTTAATTAATACATTTCATGCTTAAGTCAAATAATTATATTAACAATGATGACTACTAACTATCATAACTACAACTTATATAATAGAAGTTAAGGATACATTTCATTTCGTGCCTAATTAAAAAATATAATGGTGATTGTACACACATTACATGACTAAAATATAAATTAAATTTGATGTCAATAAATAGGATAAAAAGGTGGTATTAAGTTTGATGTCAATGAATAGGTTAAAAAGGTAGTGTTAAATTTGAGATCAATAAATAGTTTATAAAGGCAGAATTAAATTTGTGTTAATAAATAGGTGTATACAGTATTAATGTTTGAAAATGTACTTAAGTATTTTTGTATTATTATCAGTAAAAAAAGTAATTTAGTTTATAAAAAGCATTATGTCAAAAATAACAATGATAATAACACCAAATAATTACAATTCAAACTTATGTCAAAAATAATGATTATAACACCAACACATTGTAACCATTACATTTAAACAATATTAAATTTAAACAATATTAAATTTGATGTCAATAAAATATAACATACACTATTAACTGTTAAAAATTTATTTTACAATTTGTGTGTTATTCTCTGTAAAAAAGTCATTTAGCGTGTAGAAAGCATTCTTCAAAAGGTACTTTTTAAGCAGACCTTCTAATTCCTTTGTGTTTTTTACACATTTTATATAATTAGGTACAGCATTAAATATTTGGATTGCCATAGAGTGGGGTCCTGACCTGTACAAACTCAAAGTAGAGAATGGTAATTTAAACTGGTTTAATCCGCGATTATTTCGTTTTATGGTTGTTTTAGGGGAATATACTTCTAAATGTCTAAGTACGAATTTGCAACACTCTAAAATATAAATTGAAGTCATTGTCAGTATTTTATGTTTTATAAAGTACGGTTTGCAGGAGTCTGTTCTGTCAATACCAACTAATATACGAATACACTTCTTTTGAAGTATTTTTAATTCGTCTATGTTTATACAGTTATGTCTACGTTAATACGTTACGTCTACGTCTAGTTACGTCTATGTTAATTATAATATGGCGTCTAAATATATTGAGTAGTTAATTGTATAGTTGAGTGGAAATATGAACGTAAACCTTGTCACTCCTCAAAACGGTTATAATTTAAGTTTTAATTATTTTTATTTACCTGCCTTTTTTCATTAATTTCCTCTTTTTCTTTGAGTATTAGATGTGCAACACCCATATTATACAAAATCTTTGGTTTACAGGAAAAACAATAGAACCACCAGCAAAAATTAACATAGATGGCGCTCTCGTTCGTTTACAAGACGTCGGCGCACTCGACTCAACGTACGCACTAACCGCCTTGGGACGCCATCTAGCGGCGTTACCCGTCGACGTGCGGATAGGCAAACTCATGTTATTTGGTGCTATTTTCTGCTGTGTAGACTCTGCATTGACTATGGCTGCTTGTTTGAGTCATAAGAGCCCGTTTGTTGCACCTTTTGGGAAGAAAGCTGAGGCCGACGCAAAGAGGAGAGAGTTTGCGTGTTCAAATAGTGATCAGTTGACTACTTTAAGGGCTTATAGGGTAAGATATTTTTGTACATACTTTTTACATTCATGCTTTAATAGCATATACATTTAGTAGAGCTCCTTGTGAAAGAGTTCGTCTAGGGAAGAACCTTACCTATTTCTGCCACCAAGCAGCAATACAGCTACAATAATAATGTTCAAACTGCGTCACAGTTTCGAAGGATTAAGGGTGCTGGTGAAATTACAGGTACATGGGACTTGTCAACTTATGTCTCAAGTGTGTCGGGTGCAACACTCAGAGCTTTAAATCTTTGTGATTTAAAGCTCTTGAGTGTCGCTGCAACTGCTAGGGGCAGGCGTGTCACCAGCCACACGACTTGCTCGTCCTGTCACTCAGTATTATAAAAAAAATACATTTCGCGTCGCTACGCGCAAGTCTTCTTTATAAAAAGAAAAGAAAAGTGACACTGGCTAGTACTCAAGTTTGTAGGTAGCTCAAAATTTTTTTTGAAGCGCCAGCTGTCGTATTTTGATTTTTGCTGTACTTTTTATTATGTATATTTTGTGCTTTGTAACGTTTAGTTGTTAAAGGAGTAAATTTATTATTTATTATTATTATTATTTAGTTACTATTTAAAAAGTTCTAACCAATAGGCGGAGATATATTATATAGATGACCTCTTTACAAAACTAATGTTATGTTTTTGTGTTTATTCTAAACAAGCGACAATAACGCTTATCTTACCTGAAAACTTTTCGTTATTTATAGAAATGGCAGGAGGCGATGAAGAGAAGCAACCACGCGGCGATTGTGTTCACAAATGAGAACTTCCTTTCACACAAGACGTTGTTAATGTTGGCTGACATTAAACATCAGTTGTTGGGGTTGTTGGCTTCTATTGGATTCGTTCCAGACATGCCCGACTTGAGGAAGAAGATGAGAAAAGATTCTGTCATTGCTTTGACAGGAGATGAGGTTTGTGTTTGCTTATCTAGTTTGTAAGTTTTCGCGATTGTTACACATAGGAAACGAAACTATTTTTTCGGATTTCGGATGTCACAAAATTCAGTCAAGATGTAATTTTGATAGAAAACACAGGTTTATAGTTGATCCATGGAGTATATGGTATAGGGCTATGTGTGGTAAAGCAAGTTGGGTAAATGGCCTCCATGGCTTTGCTGGCAAATGCGCATTCTTTTTCATGAAATTTTGCATAACTGTGATGGAATCAAGTTGACACAGCGCTCACTTTCCGACTCGGTGCGGCTTGAACCCACAACCATGCTGCACCGTAGCATTGCTCTAACCATCTGAGCCATGAGTCCAGTTGCCGAGTCGTCGAAATTATCCTGTGTGTTTTTGTTATAGATCTTAGTACTGACTTTCGGCATTCGTCGCCGTTAGTGACATATAGTGAGAGATTTTTCAATAACCTCACCGCATCCCGATACCTTTACAGGTATCACAATTAGCGCAGATGTCGTTTTTCGATAAGATGTATTTTTTGAGTTTTTTTTGTGAAATAACTCCACTAGTTTTATTATTATTAGGAATACAAAGATCGCTCGAACACAGAAAAATGTTCATGTCATTTTGGACCGTTTTTCCTTTGGACCGTTTTCACCGACATGGAGTTGAATTTGAATCTTAAATGTCATGCTTGACGCGCTCTTGTCTCTGTACTTGAAATAAATAGAGATTAATTCATTATACTGTTTATGTTTTCAGTTAAATTCAAATGGAAACAACGATAAGCTGTTGGCAGCTATATTGTGCGCGGCGTTATATCCGAATGTCGTCAAGGTAATAAATAATGACCGTTTTATTTTAGTGTGCAAAACATCCTACCATTGACTTTCCAATTAACAAGTTTCAGATATAAAATGTTCATACAAGTTCATTGAAGCAAAAAAATGATGACAGCTTATTTATTTATTGAAAGATACACCATCGACTTAAAACAAAACAGTGTCAGAAAATTATTTACATACGTCATCGAGTATAATGACATACAATCACCATCATCGAGTATTATAACCACAAATAGAGACGAAATGTCATTTAATTTGTTTGAAAACTATTCTGCCATATTATTACTGTGACAACTGCGTTCCGATTGGCTTCAATTGTCGTCAATGGGTGTCGTCAACTGTTTCACTTCAAATCGACCAGTTGACTTGAGCTTTGCTATAATAGACGAAAATTGCAAAATTACATATTTAATATTTAATTACCGATGAAATGTGATTCCGTTTGTTTTGTAATTAGATGTTTTGCAGTTTTTCCCACACCACCGAATAAACAGTACGGCATTGTTAGAGATATTATCTTTATTACAATAAATACAGAATATTTTTTGGAATATACGGAGACTTACACACAGGTCAGTAGTTGGCCTGTCTATATTTCAGTGCAAACGGGATTTATAAGAGCTGTATCGCTAATGTGTTACCAGGAATATATGGCCCTTATTTCGTCTCTATTTCTGGTTATATACTCGATGTTCACCATACACGATATGAACACTACAGCACTAAAAATTTTGAGTTAATCAATGAAATAAAAAAAATGTAAAATGACAGCAATAATTAATTATAAGTCATGTATAGATAACTATTGATAATATGAAAATTGCACATACGAGTGCACAGCTTGGTGTTTTAGAATTAATGATAATTATAAAATATTAACTTTTTCTTTTAGGACACGGTTGAGGGGAGAGACTAAAATAGATACTTATCTAAAATAATAATAATTAAAATATTGTCGTACTGCAAAAACCAATTACGGATTTTTTACAGAAAATGACGTCACTATAGGAAAACGAGAAATAATAGCTTATGTAAAATGCAAATATATCCATAGTTTCGGTAAAATATAAAATAATCATACAAATTACATAATAAATTACCGTTGATGACCATGGTATTTGTAAAAAATAGTCGTCGTTAAAATTTCAGTTGTATTTATTTAAAAGTATTTTTTTAGGAACAATTGTTTTTCCCTTATAATGGTGATATTCAGTGTCACAAATGATTCTATAAATATAAATTGATTTAAAACAAAGAAGACTTAAGGTTAACTACGAGGCATGTAACCACATTTCAAAAGTTCGTTTTTTTTTAATTTCAGGTACTAACTCCTGAGAAATCTTTCCATATGCAAGCAGGCGGTGCTATACCACGGCAACCTAATCCGGAAGAACTAAAATTCAAGACGAAATCCGACGGTTTCGTGGCCTTACATCCATCCTCTATAAATTCCACTGTAGGGTATTTCGCGAGCCCTTATTTAGTGTACCAGGAGAAGGTTAAAACTTCGAGAGTGTTCATTAGGGAGTGCTCTATGGTGCCGCAGTTGCCGTTGGTTTTGTTTTCTGGTATGTGTTATATTTATTTAGAACAATCTAATTAAAATTAACTAACTAATTCCATGCATTTGCGCAGGCGTGTGCGCCCGTCTCGCGCCCGGGTTCGGTGTGTTGTCGTCCATACAAGTACACGAAATTAGACCCGCCGCGGTCCCGGTCCGACCCGCGCCTGACCCGCACCCGCTGTCTGTGTTTCGAGCTTTAATTACATTGGAGATTACACAATGCACATGGAGTAGGTAGTGCTAAAGTGTTGCCTCAATATGCAAGTTACTCGCATATCAAACATATGTAATATGGGGGTACTGTATGTTACTTACACTATCGAAGCCAGTTAGTAGCACACTGATTATTGACTAGTCGGTTAATGCTAAGACAGAACATAAATACCTATAGATGACGCAGTGATGTACTTTGATATGAAGAAATATATAATTAAAGTAAAGTATAATGTCGGACAGTATGAAATATTACAAAGAAATTATAATATTTCATGAATATTCATAATATTTCAAATAAAGATAATATAATATTATTCTTACCATGATATTAATGTATTTTTGTGAAATTACTCGACTAGTTTGTAATAATTATTAATAACAAATATTGAGATTTAACTCCCTTCGTGGCCGAACGGTTACCATGCCGGTCTGCCATGCGGAGGTCCCGGGTAAGATTCCCGGGCCGGGAGAAATATTTGTATTTGTGGTTGTCTATGTGTGTGTCCATTGTACCCGCGATAAAGGGTTTCCCTTGTACTATGAGTGTGTGCTTAAAATTATAAATCGAACCCAAAGAAAAACAAAAAGCATAATTCCTTCGATTTGTCAGTAATTTTATTTTACTTTGTTTAACTGGACCACCCAGCTATTAATATATTACAGAGTTCCTAGGTTTTCGTAGTTGGTACACGTATAACATGAACCTACTTTCTCGGATCTAAATTATGTGTATTTGTTTTTTTTTAAATAACGCTTAAATTTCAGTCTACCGTGAGCATGGGACCTGTAAGGGGCCCGAAACGTTGGTTTGTTTGAATAAACAAATGTACGCCATTTAGATCCTAAAAAAAGTTTAAAAGTAAAAAGTAGGAGTTTAATTTCCTATGCTAATATATTAATTGAAATATGTAGCCCATAAAAACGTCTTAATCTCTCTATGTCTTGTTTTCTCTCGTCAGGTTGTGGACTGACTGTTGAGCTCCATAACGGAACGTTCATAGTGTCTCTCGAAGATGGCTGGATCATGTTTCAAGTTGAGAAACACGAGGTGAGATTTGCGTAGTAATATTAATTGAGCGCAAAAGTGTTGTAACTCCATGCAACGTATAGGTTATAAGATGAGAGATTGAGAATGAGGGACTTAAAATTAGCCAAACTCATAAGGTGTGTAGTAGTATAATGAGATACATATATGTATTTAACATATCGGTACCAGAAGTATCAATTAACGTAAGGGACATTTTGTCGAAAATGAGTTACATATATCACTGGATTCTGAAGTTCCCTCTCTATCGATTGGTATTATTAAAATTTAGGAATGCCCACTGGTTTAAAGTATAGTATGTCCCTTACATTAAAAACATTTAAAAAAGATGTTTAGTTGTGCCTAACGTTGCTAATATTTTATGTGTAAACCGTTATATATTTATTGTAAAGTCCCTATTATAAATGATCTTTTACAATAGAATTACGTATAATTTTCTTTTTCTCTTCTTGCTTATACTATGCTCGCCGGTTTACACATAAAATATTAGTAACGGAAGGCACAACTAAACATCTTTTTTTAATGTAAGGGACATGCTATATTTTAAACCACTAGGCATTACTAAATCTTTCGTTTATAGCATGAAAAAAGAGGAAATTCTAAGAAACTGCTCTACACAATCAAAATTGGAGCAGACTAAAAGGTTATAGACGGATTTAAAAAAATAAAATCGTTTTTTGGCTTTCCTGATAAACCGTGGTTTGTCAGGAAACCTTACTTAACCCTTACGTTAATCGATACTTCATATATACCAAAAAATTTAATGTGTGATAAGTAAATAAGCGATAGATATATTACATCGTAAATAATGTTATAAATATAAGTAAATATACTTTAAAAAAAATAATATATAGCTATCTGTGATGTAACTGCCCATGTATTGCATTTCTCTAAAAGATAAAAAAAAGATAGCCAACTTGCGTACTTTTTTTAATGATTAAGTCGTGCGCCTAATGCCTGTATGAATTTATACTCTAACTCTGTTGTAGGTATTGAAGTAAAATGTGTTGCGTTGGAGCATTTGCTGCATACCTACTAAGGACTTACTTTTGTCAAATATTTCCCCACTGTTAGTAAACATAATAATCGAATTTCGTTTGTACGCAAACGATAAACTATCATTTTAAATGACTTAAGCTCTGATGTCACCGCTGGCGTTCGTGTCATCATTAACAAATAGATCCTTTATATTCCGCAAGACCGCGTATACCAAAATCTACTTTGTCAGTCTGTAGTTTTGTACAATGCATACGTAGTACCGTTTACAATAGTACTATAGTTACACATCTTTTTAGTCTGGAGCCACATGTAGTGGTCATTTACCACGTTTATTTATTATTATCTATTGTATAAACAAAAAGTATACTTGGAAAAAATTGTTATATATGTTAAATGAGTTAACATTGTTCCCAGGTCGCAGAAATGCTAAAAACGATTAGGGTGGAGCTAGTGAACCTGCTTGAAGAAAAAATCAACGACCCATGTCTCAACCTGTTGCATTACGACAAAGGCAGCAGAATTATAAAAACAATTGTACAAATTATCACAAACTTTTAAATTATTTTATTTTGATCAATGAACTTTTCATCGGAAATGAACCGGTAGCGATGTTTTATTTGATATGTCTAATCTCAATGAAAGGTGTGCAATATCAGGGAACCAATTCTCGTACGCTGCGACATTTTCTCGGCTTCGAAATGTCTACAGAAAATGTCACTGTATTGTCCAACAATTCCTATTTTCGGTGTCAATAGATCACTAAGTTGGACGATTTGATATCTCTATTCTGTTTTTATAGATTGTATGTAAAACATAATCGATAAAAAAATCATTTCAGTCTTTTTTGAAGACGGAGTAAAATGACATTTGCGTGGTTGCCAGTTTCATAAAATTTTAAATAGTCCTGTAGTTGTTGTCGACAGTTTTATCGATAGATTATGAAAGAATTAAAATGAAAAATTTTAAAATATGTCTCTTTTTCGTATTTTTAATAGGTATATTTCAAAATTTTGTGTATGTTATATATGTATGAACCTCCAAAAATTGACAATTCAAATGAAACAAGTTCGGCTATTTATATGTAGATTCTGAGAATACTAGTCCAAATGATTATCACTAATATCAGGTTTCTTACCACGGTATGACTTCTTTTTATTTTTCCGATATTTCGGAACGGTTGCACGCTCCATGGTCACGGGTTGACTCTTAAAGTCATACCGTGGTAAGAAACCTGATATTAGTGATAATCATTTAGTGAATAACCACGAAAGTCTTAAAATCTAAATACTAGTCCAGTTAAAATTGATATTGAATTAATATTCAATTATTTTTATGTGAACTAGTTTGTTATAATTATTAATACAAAGATCGAAAAAATTCCTTCGATCCGGCCGGATTCGAACCGACGTCTTCTAACATACCGTGGCAGACGCTACACTAACTAAGCCACGGAACGAACCAGCGGACCTCACGAATTTTCCTATGTGTTTGTTGTCGTGTTGTTGTACTTGGTTTTTTCAACGACTTCTTAGCCGTAGCGCCATTTATGTGAAATCTTAATTTGTATTAATAATTATAACAAACTTGTCCAATTTTTTTAAATTTCTCTGAGACTTTTTCTCTGTCGTACGAGAATAAGGCCCCAACGTGTTCCAGTATGTACGTACCTATCTTTACTATGTACATATAACTATCATTTCTAGTTTTATGAAATTGTTGGTGTCTATAAATATTTTTCTATTAACACACAAATCACAATTACGTTAACCTCCTAAAGCCCCATGTACATCACGATGTACATAATATGTGCAGTGATTCAGACCCGCATAATACTATTTCTGTGATCACGTAAACGCTCAGTGTACATGTATTGCATTTAAATTTAGAGCTATATATTCCATATAACCTTAAGATATGTACAAAAATATGTTTTTTATACAAAAGTAAGGGTGTACTTGCTTGGACCTGAAGAATGTAAATATATTTAGTACAGTTTTTTTATGAACAAATCGTGCATCTGGTGATAAGCGACATACCTGTCCATAGCAGTTGCAGTGCTACCCAGAGACATAAATCACAAAGATCTAAGGGGCACTGCCACTGCGCCCGTCATCTTGAGACGCAAGTTGACAAGTCCCATGTGCCAGTAATTTCACTATATTGCTTACAGATCAAAACCGGAACGCAACAATGCTCACATTACTGCTTGGCAACAAAAATAGGTAAGGTGGCAGAACTTCCCTGAACTAACTCTTTCACATTGAGCTCTACTGCTATTTTATTTTTATTTAATGTACATAGGCCTTAGGAGGTTAGAAAAACGCATATTAAACTATTTAGTTACCAATATTATTATATTCAAATAGCCAAATTGAGTTCCAATGAATTGCTAACTAAAACAAAACAATATGTGATCCATATAGCTTCTACTCCATTTTGTTTATACTTGAAATTTGTTACATACTAATAAAACAAACAGTATTTAAATTCGATCTCTGTAAATAATGTTGTTGTCGTTCTTGTATAATACAGTATCTATGTATATGTCAATGTTAACTGGCTAAATTAGCTTGTCAAAGTACTGTATATTTTCTAATGTTCAAGCCTTGGCGTCATTCGAGCTTGATAGTCGAAGTCAAACACAATCGTTATTGAGAAGCCCTCTGAATCCGGTAACCTATTACAAACTCCATTTTTTGTCCGAAATAACATTTGTTCGAATTTTTATTACACCGAAAACCGAATTATAACGAAACCGTTGTTCTTTCAGGATATGTTTGACGTTTATCACAAAAACACGAGTAGGCTCGGTTAGGTTAGGTTAAGTTAGGTTTAAAAGAAAAAACATTTTCTTTCAAAATTACCTTCGAGTTTATGAAAATTGGAGCAAACGCTATTTCTGAAAAATGTCATTTCGAACTACTGATAGGTAACTCTCTAATCCGGTAATACGACACTTCAATTGTATGAGTATAATATCTAAACTGTTAGTTATATTTATTTTATTGAATATCATGTTTTTATGTTTTTATTATCACAATATTCATATTTTTTTGCGAAAATACTCGAGTTTGGTGTTTCCCGGTCTGGCAAACAGGTGCTGGTTCGTATCCTGCCGGGTCTAAGGAATTTTTCTTTGTATTTCTTCGATCTTTGTATCAATAATAATGTTATAGTACATTGTGTTGTGGCGGTAAATAGGAAATTATTATCGAGAGACTTATAGAATGACTCGAGGTTTGTAATTTTTACCGTCCGTGCTAAGTACAATGTTTTTCATTACATTTTCGAGGAAATGGATACAACGATAATTTATTTGTTGAATGAATGAATATCGCTTCCTAACACAACATTTACGGATTTTGCAAATGGCGGGTTATTTGCTTTTTTATCAGACTTCAAAACAGGTTCTCAAGTCGACTGTGTTTTTTTTTGTATGTATGTTACGTTATAACCCGAATTTGTGAACCGATTTTGATAATTCTTTTTTGGTTTAAAAGAGGGTACCTCAGAAGTGGTTCCATTTAAATTTGAAGGCAAACTAGGAGATGAATGATTTTTGAGGTCGGGTTTTCTTTTGTATTAGATATAAATAATTTCTAAATTCTAAATATTATGCAGAATTTGAATTAACAAAATAAATTTAGTAAAATATAGTTAAATTGCAAATGTATTTTTTTTTATACTTCAAGTTTATGCGAAATATACGGTCAGATTTTTCGACCATAAAATCTTTTTCATAATCTTCATGTAAATAGGCCATATGGCGATAATGTAATGAAAAACCCGTGGGAATATTTTAGTCATGCATGTCATGACACGATCGATCATCACGATTGTTGTATCGATCCCCTGGCGTTCAACTTAATCGTTAATGACATAAACATACACTATCGATTCGTCGTTTCGATCAGTCAGAAAAGTTGGATCGCGAAGACAAATCGTTTCGTGTGTGGGGTCTTTGATTAGACAAGTAAGTTACGTTGGTCAAAAAACCGTCAATATTGACACTTAAATTTTAAATTCAACTGTGCTGTTAACAATACGAACGGTACAAAGTTTCAAGCTTTGATGTGCTCTCCACTGCACGTTCATACACCAATATGTACATATTTTCAAAAAAATATTTCTATAATTCCAATGTAAAATTTATTTATTTATTTAAAATTACGTAACGTAGATCATTCTGGTTATATATACTCGATGCGTAGATCTAATATTAAACCTATAACTAAACTGAACGTAGACTTTCAACTGCAGTATCGAACTGGTGAGCGGAAACGTTAAATTGTCAAATAATACTGAATGAAATAGGTTAACAATGCAACTTCTGTATATCTCGAATTGCCCCTAAGCTTGGACTTGAGAAAATAGTACGTACGCAAATGTGTTTATAATTTGATGTTAGATACATTTTTTATATGGACAATAAATTTGACAGTGAATTGTTTTTTTTTTTTTAAATTCAGGTAAGGGACACCACGCTACTACTCCATTAGCCAAAAAAGTTACTTTAATTGACATGCAATACAATGAAAACAAAAAACATTTCAAATTGGTCTATGACTCAGCTACGGAAAACTACGCTCTCTCTGATATTCTGCTTTAGAAGGTCGAAACACAAAACTGCGATGCGACATCGCAGAAATCTACGAGCTCGCACGACGCATCGCAAGAATTTGCGAATTGCTCCGCATCGCGCATTCCTGTGATGTTAATCTTCTTTGTGTTTTTACCTATATATGCTTATCAATAAAAGCAGTGCAACACTTGTTTTAGGATCCCTGTCGCTATGTGGTTTAAAAAATATATTCAGTACGGTTGACGATCGTAGACGGAATGATCACCCGCACCGTGGCAGTGAGATGATTTGCCGCACGAAATCGCATCATAGCAATTCGCGACGCAACTTTCTGCGTTGCGAATTCGCAACCCGCCGATTCGCAGTTTTGTGTTTCGACGTGATATAACAACACACTTAACATTAGCAAATACAGGAACAAAATAAAAATGGCGATTTTGTTTTTTTTTTATTTCTTTGATCAAAGTGTTTAATTGATTACTTTAACTTCTTGTTTCTTCAAACACTTTAAAAAATAACAAATTAATGTATACAAATTAATAAAAAATCTGACATAGAGTTTGTTTAGATATGGTCCTTAATAATTAAAAGTTTATTCGCGCTGATGTCAAGGTAGACGGACTTAGACGGTGCGTAAAAAAAAACTGTTCGGTGATAAATCAAGTGATCATCATCGCAACTGGTACTCTTCCCTGACCGCTACCGCGCCGACGCAACCGCCACGCGTTCCACCGCATTTGTCGGAGATCCTTAATTAGGACGTCTGCTGAAGTTGAGGAATAGCGCTGTTAAGGACAACATACGACTACGAAACTCACCTCTAAGGTCAGTGTAGTATAGTTCGTCATTCAGCACTTCTTTTACCTGCCGATCCGTCACTCTCCAGACGTTCCTTTCCATAAAGTCCACTTCTCAAGAGCGTCATAACGGACGAACCAACTATCAATCCGCTCGTATACGGCGCTTACGGTCATATGGCTTGTCCATTAGGACATAATATATTTCTGGATATGTGATCGTAATACTGACTTATATCTATTCGTTTCAAGAAATGAGGATTTGACATAAAACTGCACAATAGACTGGTGATTTGGCTATCATAGTAAAACTGAATCATAGTAAAACCTTTGGGTATGAGTGAAGTAATTTGTACTTATCCAAACTAATGAGAAAGTAACTCGTGTCTGTTACGTTTTCACGTTTAAACCGCTAACCCATATTTGATGACTTTTGGTATTGAGATAGATGTGACTTAGAACATGAACATATACTTTTAACAGGCTATATGTTAGGCGATAACTCATATGTGAATCGATTT